GGTTGATATTTGGCCACACATGCTAATTTTGTTTTTTGTTTTTTTTAGTTATTCTTGCAATTGACCATAATTTGATTTTGTGCAAAGAATATGGAAATAATTTTGTCAAAAGTTGTTACAACATTCTTCTCGTAGTTTTCTTTGTAAATCTTTGGGAAAATCGCATAAAACCCCTCCAAAGTGACAACCACTAACACGTTAAATCTCTAGAATTTGTCACTTACACAATAAACCTTTAAAGTGGTAACTTTAGCTAAATAAACCTCCAATCTGGTTTTTTTTGTACACGCTGTTAATTTAGATGATGGAATAGTTAACTACGTTAATCGAGCAGTTGTTTTCTGTTAAAAATAGCGACGTGGCATTAAATTTGTTTTTTAAATTTTTATTTATTTCTAAATTAAATTTTATTTATTTTTTACATTCTAAGGAAATGTAAGAGATGGAGAAAAACAAAATAAAACGACGTCTTTTGGAGACGGAGCTTCGTCGTTGAAGACGGAAGTTCTCGAGCTCAAGCTTTTCAGAGAATCTGTTTTTGTTATTCAGATACTTGAATCTCATATCCCTGCAAAGGATTTGAGGAGCAGAAGAGAGGAGAAAGAAAGACACGGCGGAGCTCCGGCGATTGGTGTTGAGGAGAGTAAGGATCAAGCACTCTCGGTTTCCAGATCGAGAGTGACTCGGAGGAACTCTTTGAGTCAACTCTCTTCAACTGTCAGATCTAGGGTTCATGGAGTACTAAAATCAGCGTCGAAACGGTGTTTCTCATCAAACACTTTCGGTGATTCAACGGAGGACAGAGTATATCTGGCACCAGAGAGAACGAATCCACACTTCCGCCTCCGCTTCTTCAACCACCGCGTCCTCCGGCATGTATTTGTTGATTTAGCGAGGAATCAGAAGTTGGAGCGGAGAAATCATATCAAATAAATTAAAGAAAATGTTTGGGATTCTGATATGACGAGGAATCAAAAGCTCGAGTGGAGAAAATTGAAGAGGAAGACGATGAAGATCGGAGATGATAATTTAATTAA